GGTCGCGTACCTGATACTCAGAATCACCAAACGGTATTCGCTGAAGGTCATTCAGGTTTACGCACCAACCTCGGCACATCCCGATGAGGAGGTGGAGGAAATGTATGAGGATATTTCCAGAGCCATACATTCCTCCAAAACCTACTACACGGTGTTGATGGGAGACTTCAACGCAAAACTGGGCACAAGAGAAAGCGGTGAGCTGAAGGTAGGGAAATTTGGAGTAGGGCAACGGAACCGAAGGGGCCAGCAGCTGGCCGACTTTATGGAGAAAGAGGGACTCTTTATGATGAACTCTTTCTTCCAGAAGCGGCCCCACAGGAAGTGGACCTGGTCGAGCCCCGACGGTTCGACAAAAAATGAGATTGACTTCATTATGACGACCAGACGCCAACTGTTCAGTGATGTCTCAGTGATCGCAAGGGTGAAAACTGGCAGCGATCACCGAATGGTTAGAGGCACACTGAACCTAAACGTTAAGTTGGAGAGGTCTCGTCTAATGAAGTCAACGCTCCGTCCCCCCTCGTGCTCTAATCCAGAATCCCGAAACCTTTCAGCTCGAGTTACGTAACCGCTTCCAGTGCCTAGAAGATTGCAATGCAGTGGACGATATGAACGACAAGCTCGTGGAAACTGTCCATGCGGTCGGAGCTAAGTTCTGCAAGACCCGCCGCAGAAGAACACAAAAACTCTCCGATCACACTCTTAATCTCATGGCTGTTAGACGGGAGATGAGGCTGCAATCGTCAACAGATTTGACAGCATACAGGCAACTGAACAGACAGATCTCCAAATGCATACGGCGAGACTTACGCAACTTTAATACTTCTCGTATTAAAGAAGCGATCGAGCGGAACCAGGGCTCCAAAGTCTTTGCCAGAGATCTGTCTGCCAGAAAGAGCCAACTGTCAAGGCTGAAGACTGAGTGTGGCAACATCGTTTCCGGGACACCTGAGATTTTGAGTGAGATTGAGAGGTTCCATGGGCAGCTGTACACATCATCGTTGGAGCCACACGCAAGTGTGAGTAACGATCCAAGAGCAAGTCTTATCCGACACTATTCCGATGATATCCCGGACGTCAGTCTAAGCGAGATTAGAATGGCTCTCCAGCACCTTAAAAACGGCAGGGCCCCAGGCGAGGATGGAATTACAGCGGAGCTTCTGAAAGCGGGTGGAACACCGGTACTTGAAGTCCTTCAGAAGCTCTTCAATTCCGTCCTCCATGGTGGCACTACTCCAGAGGCGTGGAGCAGAAGTGCGGTGGTCTTGTTCTTTAAGAAAGGCGACAACGCTCTCTTAAAGAACTACAGACCGATTTCCCTTCTGAGCCGCGTCTACGTGCTGTTTTCGAGAGTCATTACGAATCGTCTCGCACGCAGACTTGACGACTTCCAGCCTCCCGAACAAGCCGGTTTCCGAAAAGGCTTCAGTACCATAGACCACATACATACCCTGCGGCAGATTGTACAGAAGACTGAAGAGTACAATCTGCCACTTTGCCTGGCGTATGTGGACTATGAGAAAGCCTTTGATTCCGTCGAAGTTTGGGCGGTGCTACAGTCCCTTCAGCGGTGCCAAGTTGACTGTCGGTATATCGAAGTGCTGAAGTGTTTGTACAGTAGGGCTACGATGGCTATCCGAGTACAGAACCAGAGCTCGAAACCTATCCAACTGCAGAGAGGTGTAAGACAGGGTGACGTTATATCCCCGAAACTCTTCACCGCTGCATTGGAAGACGTTTTCAAGCTACTGGACTGGAAAGGATACGGTATTGACATCAATGGCGAGTACATCACTCACCTTCGATTTGCCGACGATATAGTCCTTATGGCAGAATCGCTGGAGGACTTAAGCACTATGCTCAATGACCTCAATAGTGCCTCCCAACGGATAGGTCTTAAGATGAACATGGACAAAACAAAGATCATGTTCAATGTCCATGTCACACCTATGCCGGTAGTTGTTGGGAGCACTATGCTCGAAGTTGTTGACGAATACGTTTACCTGGGACAAATAGTCCGGCTAGGTAAGTCCAACTTCGACCGAGAGGTCAATCGACGGATTCAACTCGGCTGGGCAGCGTTCGGGAAATTACGGCATATCTTTTCGTCAGGTATACCTCAATCTCTAAAAACTAGATTGTACAACCAGTGCGTGTTGCCAGTGATGACTTACGGATCTGAGACGTGGTCCTTCACTGCTGGCCGTATGAGGACGCTTAAGGTCGCTCAGCGAGCTATGGAGAGGGCTATGCTCGGAGTTTCTCTGCGTGATAGACTCAGAAATGAGGATATCCGCAGTAAAACCAGAGTGACCGACATAGCCCAACGGATTAGTAAGCTGAAGTGGCAATGGGCCGGCCATATAGCTCGAAGAACCGATAACCGATGGGGAAGAAAGGTTCTCGAGTGGCAGCCTCGTACCGGTAGGCGTAGTGTAGGGCGACCCCCCACTAGATGGAGTGACGACCTGGTAAGACATGCAGGAAGTCGATGGATGCAGGTGGCTCAGGACCGTGCTTTGTGGCATTACTTGGGGGAGGCCTATGTTCAGCAGTGGACTTGTGAAGGGCTGTAATGATGATGATAATGATGAGATAACCTTCACGTTAGAGGACTGATGCAAACAATTGTTAAAATAGAGGGGGAGTACAAAAAAATACATACAAATATTTAAATTTGATAAAGCTATTAAGTGAACAGAGTATGAAAAGGTAAAGTAATTTATCTCATAGCGTTCATAGTAGTAAGTACATTTTAATAGAGAGAGAGAGATTGACCGAGGATCGAAGGCATCTATTATGGGTAAGGGAAAGATACTGAAAACAGTCTTGTAAATGTTGAAGGGTAAAATATGTATGTATAATATGAGAGAATATTAGTATTAGTGAGAAGGTGAAGCTTATTAGGCTGGTGAATTAGTCAAGATAGCAAATATTAGCATAGTCAATGGGCAGAGGCTTAACGCGGCAAACATTTTTCTGCGAACCTCAATAACGTGTGAGGTCCAAGATATACAGCCGTCGAGGTACAAACCCAGGTTTTTAACCTTGTTACTTACTTACTATAACTGATTTGAATGCAGTCTAATATGATAGGGGGTAGACAAAACCAGTAAGTTTTTCCAATTAATTTAGAACTATCAATGACAATGAATTAAGTTTAACATAATATTTAGTCCAGTTTGAAATACAAGTCAGATCAACGTTCGTAGCGTCAACTGCTTTAGACAAATCTTCAAGATAGGACGGAATATAGATTTGTAGGTCATCAGCATACAAGTGGTAGGAAGAGGACAAGCTGTGACTTATAATAGAGTTAATGAAAATTGCAAGTAGGAGACAACGCGCCACCTTGTGTTACTCCAGGCCCTGTTGTAATCCAGATGGAAAAAACAACTTGCACCTGCATGCGCTGTCGGCGACCATACAAGTAACTTTGAATTTGAAACCAGTCAACTACAGCTCGAGATATTTTGAGATATGGATGCTTAACAAAATATCAAAAGCAGCAGTATTAAATGCATTACTAAAATTTAGCAATGTATGAACAGCAATCTTTTGATCTCCATATCATACCGAAGATCATCGGTAAATTGTAAAAGTGTCATAGCTGTACTATAGCCCGAACGGAAACAGGATTACAAAGGATTTTAAAGATTGTTTTAAAAGGAACTTCGTTGATAATGCACAAGGCGTTCCAAAACTTTGGAAAGGTAAGGCAAAATAGAGATAGGTCTATAAGCAGAAAAACTAGAGAAATGTGACTTTTTCGGTAGAATAATTACAAATGCATCTTTCCAACCTAAATGAAAAAACAGAATATAGTTAATTATTTAGGATGGAAGTGATTATAGCAATTTACTAAGTAGAAACTGTACAAAGTTGTTCTTATAATATTAATTAATATATGGATGAAGATAACCCTTGGAAGTTTTTGCAATAATTCATGTCAATATTTGTACAATAATATTGTAAACTTTTATATTAAGGAATAGACACTAATGTCAATTATTTTTATAAACTGTAAAACGAAACTTATTTTGTAGAAAAATGGAAATATCAGTACATGACGTCATATTTCTTATAGTCTAACGTATATCATAGCAAAAGCAAAAGAAGAATCATCAATCGGTTGGCAACCGTAGTTTTATTTAAAGTTGTTAGTAAGTAGACTCTGACTCGTGGGTGTCGTTAGTGGCAATAGGGGATAACATACAGGAAGACGGGCTCTACCGTGATCCGATGATACAGTAAATCCTCCAGATGAAGTAAAAAAAGGTAGATACAGCGCGGCCTTTGTTATTGGTGAAGCCAAGAAACTCCGCTCCTTTATGTTAGTACTTCCCGGGGCGTCGTGCAGTAAATTTGTCTACAAAATGCCGTCCTGTGATTAAATGGTGCAAAAATAATACTAAAGTTAACAAAAAGTCTAAAGCAATATCGTTTCACACGTAATCACTCATTTAACTATATTTTATTTTGTTATTATTAATGTGTAGAGAATGATGCCAGTATTTCTTATTTCTAATGGTTGAAGATTTGGGTAATTAATTTTAGTTAATTTATAGAAATATATGTAGTCAGCATATTTTTTTTTAATTACGTGTTATTATGTTACATCAGATTGAAGTCAAGCTAAATTTTTGCTGTCGCACAGATGGGCCGGCTCGAACCAGGGTGATACCACGACGTCACAGAATACGAACAAGCTATCTTTCTTTTTCTGAGCGGAGGTGTTTTGGCGTATTCTGGGGGGGGGGGGGTGAAATTCTGCTTGCGATTAAAACTGCTAGGTGCAAGCGGAGCACTAAGACCAAGGCGACCCCTGTCACGCTATCCGTGAATTTTTGCAACATCAGGAGACTTCATTCCAATATAAGCACAAAGTTATAAAATTGGTTAGAGTTGCTTATTCTAGGTGCAATATCTACTTTTTTTACTTCATCTGAGAGTAAATCAATAAAAGTGGTATGGGCACGCACCCAATTGTGTTGTAGGCGATGCAAGTGCGGCTGGGGCCGGCGGAGCGCGTGGCGAGTAAGATGGCGGGGCGGCTGCGCGAGTTGCTGCTGGGCCAGCGCGTGCTGTGCCGCGCGCTGCCCGCCGCGTCCCCCGCGCCCGCGCCCTCCGCGCCGCCTAACGTCGAGCTGTTCGTGCGCTTCGGCCCGCAGCAGATGCTCGTCCCCGTCAACAACTCCATAATCTTGGAGTACGACAGTTCCCTGCAGCAGTCAGTGCACACTTTTTATATTTTAACTAGCGATCCGCCCCGGGCTTCGCCTGAGCAGGATCTATTAATGTGACATTTAAATTTAAGATGGTAAAACACCATTTTTTATAGGAAAAGGGTCAAAAGCGAGCACACAGTCCACCTGATGGTAAGTGGTTGCTGTGGCCCATAGACATCTACATTTATCCTCGTTTGCGAATCAAAATGCAGATGCGTTGTCACCCGTGAGGGCTAAGATGGAATGCCTCTTTTCCAGTAAAAAGGGTCTCCAGTTCTCTACACTCACCATACGAAACACAGCAGCATTAAGCTGCTATTTGACGCTGGTATTCTGTGAGAGCGTGGTCCTTCCCCGGTCGAGCCGACCCATTCGTGCTACAACTATACAATCATTATAGCTGCAGCACGGCTCTACCACGTGTAGATTCCATTATTTTATCAAAATTTAAAAAAAAATCTGCACATTTTTTCGTATAAAATATAGACTAGATCACTCCCGGTATTGCCCTTCCTCTGTTTATGAGTTTCATCACAATCAGTTCAGCTATTTCGAAGATTAGTCCGAACAGACAGACAAAAATTTTAAAAATGGTTGTTCATGTTATAATTGTATGCAAATAGGGCAGTTATTTTGATATTACGGACACCGACACTTCAAGTTTATTTATATGTATAGAGAACATTAAAGTTAACAAATGAATACCGTTCCAACAGATGGTGGAAATCACATTCTTTTTAAACTTAATTCTGGGCAGACGTTTTTAAGATTGCACCTACTCCAAACAGGCGAAATTGTGTTTTCTATCACCAGTCTGAACTTTAGGTTTTGTGCTTTAGGGAAGGGAAGATATTTACCATAATTACTTGATCATCATTCTCTAAACCATTTCCCATTATCTGGGGCCGGCGCAGTAAATCTTCTTGTTCCATTCCTCTCTATCAGCCGTCATTTCCATACTTACTCCTTTCATTCTCATATCACTCTTCACACAATCGATCCATCTTTTATTCGGCCTTCCTCTGCCCGTGTGTCCCTCCACATTCATATTCAACACTCGTTTTGTGACATGACTTTCATCCCTCCGCATCACATGCCCAAACCATGCCAATCTGCTTCCTCTCACCTTTTCTACCACTGGCGCTACTTTCAGGCTTTCTCTTATATACTCATTCCTTATTTTATCCATCCTTGTCACACCACACATCCATCGTAACATTCTCATTTCATTCGCATGCAGTCTATTTTCATCCTTCTTCTTGACGGCCCAGCATTCACTTCCATACATGCCATAATTACTTGATAACAGAGAAAAAATGTTTCTCCTCATTTTCTACATCAAGTCTGAGATATACTAACATTAATTAAGGGATAAAAAGGGGGACCTTTTTAGCGTGTAAATATTCTCATGGCCCGTCACCTGGGACGAGAGGTATAGTCACTTTAAGAGGTGTTTGGTAATTCGCATTTTGATTGGTAAGCTATAAACGCAGTGACAAGCTTCTCTAAATTCATGCATGCCAAGCTGAACACCATTGCTTACACGCCTATGTTTGCGGATGCTTGCTAAGATTTGGCAAGCGTGTAAACCCAGCATTACAATCGAAAAGAGGCACTTTTCCATAAACAGATATTTAATGCGTGACTTAAGTACTGTAACTGTAGGTTAATCCATTATTATTACAGAAAATAAACTCATCGCAACTATAATATCCTTCGCTATTCAGGAAATATGGGAGGGTTAACATACACCGGAATCGTAAACGTCCACTTATTCACTGACTCGTTGTTTACAAATTGTCTCAAAGGATAATATTTTACAATTGTTTTCTTTGGCGTATCGTATAAAATGACAAACTTTTGTGAATAAAAAGTAATCTATAGCTGTTTTAAGTCCACTGCTGGTCATAGAGTCATATCGTTCTATAAAATGTGCCTGGTGGCATTTATTACCGCAATAGGGAATTTTACCAATTTTCAAAAATTGTTTTAAATAAATCCTAGAGTGGTAATGAACCACTATAATTTTTTTTAAACCGAATAGTGCCATAAAAATTACTTTTAATCTATCTTTTTAAATTTTCGCGTGAAAACGCTAGCGTCCACGTTGTTCAACTCGTGACGTCACTGTCGTCGATACTGCCGATTTTGCAAAGGAATAATATACTTTTTAATGGTTAATAATGAGTTATCATCTATATCATTTTTGTGTTGAGCTTGAATGCAAAAATACGAGAATAAGAACGCCGGGAAAGTTATGGATTAAAGTGCCAAATGATTTAAATATGAATAAATAATTGTTTAAAACTGGCAAGAAGAGACCCGAAGGCATTGTCTACAAAATCCAAACTATACTTCTGTGAAGATAATTTTGATGTTAACTATCGTTTAATACAAGACAAAACATCATGAGGTGAAAGGTATCGCAAGTCAAATTTTGTAATAAATTACGTTAACTTAGATATTATAACTAATGATTGCTAATGATTGTAATTATAGATAAATTAAACTATGACAGCTACTAAACTATGTTTTATCAAAATACACTCTGATCTGGTATTGTGTTTTTGTATAAACAAAAGTTGGTAATAGGTACTTACACTGATGTTTTAACATTCCTCAACTCAGCAGAACAAAAATTGGAATTGCATGCCAAAAATTTTGCCGTCAATTTATTTATTCTTGGTAGATTATTACTTTCTGTTTTTACGAATTCGTCTTCCATGATGCCTTTTCAATAAAATTCGGAATAAAACTCAATAATCGTAATTATAAGCACGTTAGTTAGTTTTATTAATCAGTGCACAGAACACTAATACCCTTAGGCTGGATCAATGACGTTTTGCAAATTTGAGGAACAGACGAAAAAATATTTTAATATGGAAATTTAAAATTTATAATGCAATTTTATAAACAGAAATCAATATTTCTTGTTTACTTTTTACAAAATCTATCATAAATATATATTTTTTGATTTTATTTTACATGGTGTAAAATACCCTATTGGGCATATAAGATAGTGAACGTAGAACCGGGTTCAGCGTTTACGGATGGCTTTTACGTCATCAATAGTTCAATCAGCAGGGCGCAAAACGAGTAGATGAAGTTAAGCATTTGGAAAGCAATGATTTCAAAAAGAAGAATAGGCCCATCTAAATATTTTACTCATAACTTTTTCATACAAGAAAAAGTAGCGCATCTGTCATAATATTAACGTCATAATATCATAACACGACGTAACCAGGGTCGGATTTCGTAGTATAATTATCCTAATTGTATCATTATTTCATAGTTTTTAGTATAGTATCGTAATAATACTAAGCGAAAATACCATAATTTTACCTAAAGGTCGACTTGTATTATTATGGGGTCCTTTTACATTTTATTATTAACCCTACGATATCGAGAATTTATGTATTATGTAGTACCGCGTTGTTTTAATAAAATAGAATTAGCTCCCTTTCTGGTCAATCAATACATTTATGTTGCATCCTTGATACAACTATAGTAAGGGGCTACCACGATAAAAACTCTATGCTCCAGAAGCAATCGGTTTGAAAACAGAATTTCAAAATATTTTATGAATCAGATTTTCAGATTCAAATAAGCAGATATCGTTTCCTTTGTATTCTTTTCGTTTTATACTCATTGAATATAAAATATATTAGGTACCAATATTCAAAATTTAACTTAAACTAAATTCTTTAGACAAAAATTAAACAGAAATAAAAATAAAACCGTGAAAAAACGAAACGTATAGATAAACTAGACGCGTGACGCCAAAATCCCGGCACATGGGAAAATATAACATGGAATGTGAAACGTGAAATAATTTTTTTTTAAATGGTATAATTTTATTTTCTATGCACATTATTTTTGAGAGTCTGAATCCAACCCTGGCCTTATCTTGATAACGTAACTATACTAACTGTAAAATAAAACTTTAAAAATGCGTTTATATAAAAATTAATTTGTAACAAAAATTAATATAACGTTATTACCGATGATACGATATCCTATTTTTTTTAAATCTTTGTGTCGTAATTTTTGCATTCTTTTACCAAGCAACTAGCATTGCGCAAACGTCCTGCGCACACACCACTGTCGACCGAATCGCGTTGGCCCTAAACTGTAATTTTAGGGCCAGCACACTGGTCCGTTTTAGTTGTTTGGTCGGCCCGGTCCTTACGCTAGTAATATATAAATCAATGTTGGAAAGTTAGAATATTCGCCCTTACAAAGATGTGTGTTACAGAGGAAAATTGAATAAAGACGACAGTGAGGTGACAAATCACGTGGAGGCGCTGAATAAGAAGAAGGAGCGCATATTCCGCACGAGGTCTGGCGGCGTGGCGACGGGTGCGGTTGGGGGTGCGGGCGGGGGCGCGGTTGCGGTGTGCGGCGGGGACGAGGGACGCCACGTGCTACCGCCGCCCACGCTACCTACGCCGGGCATGTGCTTCGACGTCTACATCGCGATGGCCGCCAACCCGTGGAATTTCATCGTTAGTACACTAATGCTTTTGCATTTACTTTCATAATAACTATCACAATGTAAGATGACCTAATAGCTCACCTGATGATGAGTAGGTACTCTTCAAACAAACGCCAGAATTAAGTTGCCACCTCTAAAGTCCAAGATGAAATGCCTAACCGCCTCTACTACGCAAGGTACGATTAGGGCTGCCAAACTGGCATTTATTTTCGCATTGTGCACTAATTTTAAAAGGATAGGTAAAAATGGAGTCCTGGCAGCTAGTGTTCACATATTTTCAAAGAATTTTATGAAAAAACTTTTTGTAAAAAAAAACCCCAGACTCACCGAAGAAGAGAGAGAGACAGAGTGCAGATCACAAGTCACAATAACACAAATAAGACAAGTATGTGAAAAATATATTAGTGCATACCACACGTAATAATGAAATGAAGATTAAAAAAAACTATGGAGTGTTTGTTCCATTTTTAATTTTTATGATGTGTCCAAGTTACCTGTCAATGTTTTAAAATACTCTTTCTTTTTTAAGTAATATATCCCTTTAATATTATGCAATTTTGTAAACAATATATATAATACAATTTTGTTTTGATTTATAAACTAATACTAACTAACCAGTCAGGCTTTGTTCTGCCCTTTCCGTTGACACTTGGTCTTTAAAAATCCTTAAATTCGCAAAAAAATATTAGGGCACTTATCGGTATTAAAACTATCTTATCTCTCAAGTTGGAACAAAGAATACACATATACAAAATTATATTGAAATCAAGTGAGTAATTCACCGCAGACAAACAATGTGATACGTAATTTACTTTGCACCCCTTTTTTAGCGTATAGCATATGCGCGTACAGAAGAGTGTGAGCATAGTTAAAGTATATATGGAGAAGGAGCGCAGAAAGCTAAAATTTATATAATTATAATACTTGCTACTTACACATTACATTAAATGAATATAATAAAACATTCCTTGTTTACTTAATACTGCCAATGGCTAAATAATAATAGTCTGTAATCAAAAGGCCGCACATTGTAGAGATTTGCGCCAGAGAATCTTAAAATGTTACGAACAAATCATTACTACTTAAAGAACTACGGCCATTTTGGACAAGGAAAAAACACAACCTATTACCGACATGAGACTATCATCGAAATGTGAAACATTGTCTATTTAATTTATTGATTTCATCAGTTTATTTTTAAAAGCTGGGGAAACTTTAATAATCGTCTTTAAAAATATAACTGATTATCAAGACGCAGTATTAAATATTAGTGAATACATCCGAAATTATTTACGTTTCTAAACATTAGAGTATATAACTAAGTTTTACTAGAGAAATCCATAGGTACCAAAGAGTATATAATATAATAAAAGTACTCTGTGATATAATCACTACGTTTTATTCATACCTTTTCAAAAGTCTAAATTGATTTCGTTTCTGAATCGAAATTAAATTATAGACAATGACAACCGTATAAATTTATATTGATTATGAAACTACGAAAAATCTTTAATTAAAATGTTGCAGATTAATAATAATACCACATAACCTCAAAATACATATTGCATAATTACTAGATTCAGAAAAATTTTCGTACATTGATTTTTTATGACTTTCGATGTCATTTAACTCAACAAGAAAGTTATGACAGACTTCGATTGGCCTTTCACGATGAAGTTCCATCTCGTGCCACTGTTTACGACTGGTTTGATAAGTTTTAACGTGGTCGCACTAATATCACCGAATATCTGCGTGAGGGACGGCCCTCTACTGATACGGCCTACGACTGACAAAAGAGTGACTTATCAGCACTTTCGGACAAGCTTAGTTAGGCATTGGTATGAGTCAAGTGCACAAAATCCTCTATGGACAATTAGCGGTCAAGAAGCTCTGTGCCCGGTGAATACCACATAATTTGACAGAGGCCGAAAAACTCCGTTGTGTTGATTGGTGTCGTGAAATGGTTCAAAGATTTAAAGGAGGTGACTCAAATGTTATGTTCGACATACTTACGATAGCTGGATTTATTGTTATGATCTTGAACTAAGAGACAGTCTGCTGTCTGGGTGTTTCCTTCCATGGAGTTGGCCAACTGAAGTGAAGAAAGGTCGACGCGTGGGAAAAAGATGGTGGGCTCGTTCTTTGGAAAGACAGGTCATTACGCAACAATTGTTTTAGAAGATCGAAAAACAGTTACTGTAAGGTGGTACACGAACAATTGTTTGCCACTTGTCTTGGAAAAAGTTCGGCAGAAACGACTTCGCAGTAGGATCCTCCTTCACCACGACAACGCCTCGTCGCACATCGCCAAGCAAACAATCGACTACTTGGCGATGTCAGACGTCGAATTACTGGATCACCAGTCCTATAGCCCCGACCTCACACCTTGCGATTTTTATTTATTTCCGAAAATAAAAGAAAACTTCGAGGACACCGTTTCATGGACGCCGAAGAATCAGTGGCTGAGTTTCAAAACGCCGTTGAAGAGACCCTTAAGGACGAGTGGGCAAAGTGCTTTTCTCAGTGGTTCCATCGGATGCAGCGATGTATTGATGTAAATGGACACTATTTTGAAAAGATATAATAAAACTAATAACTTGCTAGTTTGTTCAGTTTTTGATTTTCTTTCAGTGTCACCCTCGTCAGTGGCCGCCATAGAAACCGAGAAGTCAGGCTTGCCCTTTCAAACTGCTCAATGAATAATATCAACTAATAAAATAACTCGTAAACTATTTCAAATATTTCCCGCGTGCTCCTTTGTTCTACACAGGTCATGACCTCGTAACCTTAGCGATACTGCTGTCAAACATATAAAAGGAGTTGAATTGAGCGATTAGTTGTCTCTCCCGCCGACATGGGCTTTTTACCGGGCTTTCGAGAAGACGATCGCTCCCTTTCTAACCTGTGGTGAAATATGTTCTCTGTGGTGAAATGTGATCTCTTTAATCCTGTCCTGCGCAGATGGCAATTCTCCGTTGAGAATGGCCGCCGTTACCAAAATTCAATTTGGAGCCCGTTAATATAGTTTTAAAAATAAAACACATAGTTGTTTGAATCTTTTAACGATCAAAAGTGAATTCTGGACAGCAAATAAATACTAATTATAAATAAAATGTTGTTTGATAATTTATTGTAGATTAATTAAAAATTGTCACTTCGAAACTTTAGGCTCAAAAATGTAGCTTTTCAGAATAATCACGTAACTAGTCAAGCCATGCTGACAAACCTGATATGCGCGGTGGTGTCATAATGATGGCACGGGTGACAGAGTTTGCATGATGCTACGCTTTTGTTTGTCAATTCGGGACATTTTTACGTATTTTGGGGATAGTGGGACACAAATATTTAAATCGGGAACATCCCGCTTAAAGTGGAATAATATGGTCACGTTAGGTATGAAGTTAGTCGAGCGCGGGGGCGCGCGGGCGATACGTTTGCAAGTTTACTTCACATTTCAATGTTTACTCTGTGTTTAGCTTAAGCGAATTATATTGCGTGTAGAAAATTTATGATTTTTAGTGAAAATGGAGGATAATAGTGTCCTTTGTGAAGAATTGAAGTTTGTTAAAGTGCTCGTCGGCGAGAAAACGTTAAAAACTTTAAATTTTGTTGCGAAAAAACAGCTCATGCAAACCCAAACGGCGTTTTTCAAAGCCAACGAAGGTATGCAATTGCTGACATGTCATACAATCTATCTAACAGTAGTATGCCTTCTGTGTGCTTTGTTAAACACGTCCTCGACAGAACTGATTATGAAACTGAAGACTGCAGACAGATCAAGATTGGTGTATCTTTATAAAACTGCTGAAAACAACAAAACAATATCTTGGACTTGTCCTAGTTTAGAGCCCTAGCTTCGCCACTGACTCTCGTATGACAATAGGTAGAATTCTTGTAGAATTCTAGTCTAATTAATTAGAATTCGGAGCGCTTTGTTAATATTGACAAAACAAAAATAATACAAATTGGAGATTACAAAATGGAACCTCTAAATATGAATATAAAATATGAAAATTCGAAGATAGAAAATGTTGAATCATCTATGTTTTTAGGTATAAAAATTGACAAAAATTTAAACTGGAAGCCTCACATTGACCAGATTTGTACAAAAATAAACCGGTTTGTATATGCTTTAAAAAGATCGGGAAAAACAATATCACAAAAAGCAGCCCTAGCTGCTTATCACAGTTATTTGTCGTCAGTATTATTATATGCTCTGGCTTTGTGGGGAAATTCTGTTGATATGATTAGAGCGTTTAAATTACAAAAGAAATGTGTGCGAGCGATATGTGGTGCGTGGTTTCTTGATAGCTGCAAGCCTTTGTTCAAAAAGATACGCATATTGCCGTTGCCATGCATGTATATTCGAGAAATATGTATTTTTGTAAAGCGAAACCCGAACTACTTCAAAACCCACGCTGAATCTCTCGAAAGGCAAACAAGGCATAAAATAGATGTTGGCGCGACTACTAACGCCGTCTAGCGACGCACCGGAACACCAAACTTTTATCTACGAATCAGAGCTCGTCATTGTTGGCAACCAATCACAGCACGTCGTGCAATTATTTATAAGATCTGTCTGTTTTAAATTTTGATTATTACCTGATACACACTGTTAGAAATAAGACGATTTAAATATAACCAGCAAAAAGTTCAATAAATCAATCATTGAAGAGCACCTGCCTCCCGTTCCTGTACATAAAGTGGTCCTATCGAGCCGAATAAGGAGTTCAAGCTTGAAATTTCCGAAGATTCGTCGCATCAAAATACGAAGAGGAGATTCACGTATCGAGCGAAGAGCTGCAACGTTAAGGCATCGACAGACAGGAGTGGCAGTGCTCAGGTGGCGGTACCTACCTGCACAACGGTACCCACCTTGGTTCGCACGCATCTACAAATTGGCAACTGTAAGTACTCTTGATGTCCTTAATTCCCAAAATGAGTGAGCCCAAATTGTCAGATTTAATTAAGAAAAGAGGCGTTTTGAAAGGTCGATTAACTCTGTTTGAA